CAGCTGTAGATAACACTATCTACGGCTGCTGCATAAATGTTAAGCCCATATATATATATATATATATATATATATATATATATATATATTGTACTATTCCAAATACCACACCTAAAAAGCAATTCAAGGGCTCCGTATATGAGTTGCTAACAAAATGTTTGGTTGCGACAACTCCTACCAATGAACATTTTTGGTCCAAAAAACTTATAACGTTCACCTGTGGAAAACGTGACTGACCTTCTCCAAAATCGTCGAAAAACTTTAAACACGAGGTATTGGGCTTTTTGACCCTTTTGCCCCTCATTAATTAATTAATAACCAATTTGCCCCTGATCAAGAACTATCCACCAACCTGCCCCATTTTAGTCGACTACCTTGCTGTTTTAGTCGAGCAAATGGTCAATCTTCAGAAAGTGGACTACCGCAAATTTAGTCGACTAAAAAATCATCTTAATCGACTACATTTTTGGGATATTTAGTCGACTAAGTATCAATATTTAGTCGACTAAATGTCGACTGAAACCCTATATTTTCCATGTTTTCGGTCTCATTTCGATTGTTGTTGTTGTGTAAACCTAAATAGCTCCCTTTGTTCATATGTAATCCTCTCAATCCGATTGTATTTCATCCCACCATCTCTACAGACCTAATATTGTGAAATCATTGTCATTGCCCAATTCCAAACCCCAAAATCCGAACCCAAACCCCCAATTTCAGAACCCAAGTCCCAATTTCGTGAGGAAGATGAGCACAAGTCCAAACATGTATGTGACAATGATCTACTATGATGGAAAGCATTATGAAGGCCCCAATGGTGTTCAATTTGAAGGAAAAACGAAAATGTTGAAAATCAAACGGGGCACTACATACAATGAGTTCAAAGATTCATTTTGATATCAGATTCCAGGATTTTATCGACAGTAACCCTCAAGTAGCTTCATGGATAGATCAGATTCCCAAAGAAAAATGGTGCAGGTCTTACGATGAGGACGGTCGGAGGTTTGGTCACATGACGACTAACTTATCTGAGTGTGTGAATAAGGTCCTGAGGGGTGCACGTAATTTGCCTATAACAGCATTGGTGAAGATGACTCAAAGTAGACTTGTTGAGTATTTCGTCAAGAGACGTGAAAAGATCCAAAAGGCAAAGGCAAAGGGTTGGAGAATTGCAAAAAAAGTTGAGGATATCATCCAAAAAAATGATCAATTAACAGTGAGCCTCCGTGTGCGGGTTTTTTATAGGGACCTGCAGCTATTTGAAGTTGAGGATGCCTACAATCAATCAACTCATGATGCAGGTGACATAATGAGGGTGGACTTGCTCAATCGCAAATGTCAATGTGGACGGTTCACATCTAGAAGATTCCCTTGCAGTCATGTCTTAGCGGTGTGCAAGGTAGAAAAGTTGAACCACTATGATTATGTTGATCCTGTGTTCTCAATTGCACAAATTGATAAGGTATATGCTGCTCATTGGTATCCAATGGGCAATGAGTTGTTGATTCCACAAATTGATGGCCCAACCATTATCCCAAATGCATCTTTGGTACGTGCACAAGGAAGACCCAAATCGTCAAGGATACAGAATGAGATGGATTGGGTTGAGTCTCAACCGACAAGCAGTCAGAGTAGATGTAGCCTGTGTAAGCAAATTGGTCACAACAAACGTACATGTCCTATGAGGATTCCCAATACAAGATGAATTGCGGAGGAAGCAGGGGAAGGGCTTAATGTTTTGATGGTTTAACATTATAGGCATTTATGGTTTTATATGCTTGTATTTGATGTCATGATGTTTGTATTTGAATGTAATGACGGCTATGTTTGTATTTGATCTCATGATGTTTGTATTTGAATGTAATGACGGTGCTATGTTTGTATTTGATGTCATGATGTTTGTATTTGAATGTAATGACGGTGCTATGTTTGTATTTGATGTCATGATATTTGTATTTGACTCATCTTAGTTTTTTGACTCGGAAATTATGCTCCCTAAGTCACACTCCCTTAGTGGATCAGTGTAGAGTGGAAACCTAGGGCAAAAAACATGTGTAATTCGGATTTGGGGTCCTAAACCAACAATTTAGTCGATTAACCTGTACTGGTTTAATCGACTAGGTTAGTCGACTAACCTAGTCGATTAAACCAGTACAGGTTAATCGACTAAATTGTTGGTTTAGGACCCCAAATCCGAATTACACATGTTTTTTGCCCTAGGTTTCCACTCTACACTGATCCACTAAGGGAGTGTGACTTAGGGAGCATAATTTCCGAGTCAAAAAACCCATGTGGACATTAAATTCCTAAAACCAAGTCGTATGTTGTCATAACGTTTGTTTACGGTTAACAATACAAGATGTAGCCTTTTTGAACACATGTACTGATTTGCTGTGATGTGTTATGGACGAATGTGACCTGTTCAATATTGTTTTGTGCCGTGATGATCAAATTGCTAAAAAGGTTCCATTCATAAGTTATACAATATTGAAATGGAATTAAATTCATTACACAACATAACATAGATCCAAAAAACATAACAATTCTGCATTCATTAAAAAAAGTTACATTACATCAACGACTTAAAGGAAATACATGAACAAAACACAATAACATGATGTACACCCTAAATCTACTCGTCATCCCCGTCTGTGTCCGTCTCCGAGTCGTCCTCATCTGACACATGACCCCCATCCCTTGCTGCCTCAGCTACCTGACCACCTCTTGCAAGCTCCAGACGAGCAAGCCTGTCTTCCACACCCTTAAACCTTCCCTGTATGTGTCTAAACCTTTCATTCCCTTTCTTTCTCCATTTTTTATGTGCCAGCGCCATCTTTCCTATCTTCTTTGTCATTGCATTTATGCCCTTCATGACATCACGCAGTGAAAATCCACCTTCAGGTTCAGCTATCTCCTCAACCTCAGCCACATCCTCCTCCTCCTCCTCCTCCTCCACATCTGGCTCAACAATATGGTCATCTGGGGCAACATAAGGAACCTCAACCTGGGGCATACCACTAAACTCCCACACACCCGATCTCGTGTTCTTAGTAATCTTGCACTGCTCCAATAGACGCTTTCCGAACTTGCAATTATAGCCCGTGGTCTTCTTCAACAGCTCAGTCTCCATGGGAACACCAAAGTGAACCAATATCCTCTGTACCAGACAGGCGTATGGAAGATGACCCTTATGTTTGGCCTTAAACATAAACCAACAGATATAGTGCCTCCAGTTCACCATCTGGGCATGTCGGATAGCCCACATAATGGGAATGTCATGTTCCAACACCCTGGAATGATTAAAAGATCGCGGAAACAGAACGTGGGTGAGGACATAGTGTAGTATACGGGACTCCACAGAAAGCAACCCCACCGTATAGTGCAAGTGTTCCCCACGGACTCTTCTCTGCTCCTGCACGGCATCCTCTCGTACATATCCTGGAAGTACTACACCACTATCAGCGTCATACACCACAGTCTGAGAAGAGTCAAAATCATAGCCGAGTATCTCCAACCATGCAGGTGCCGTCATGATGATCTCTATTCCACAGACCCTCGACCTCAGCTCGCCCTGTACGTAGCTGAGGTTATGGTAGAAGGCCCGCACCATAAGCTCTGAATACGGACATAGGGTCTCGGCCAACACCCTCAGATGTGCCGCCTCCAACACCCCCACAATTTCAAATCCCTCCTTATCAAAAAAGGCTGTATCCAAAGATTTTGGAGCACATAACGGCCGGTTCAAATGGTCACGTACGAATGAAGCGTGGACGGCAGGGTCGTCCTCAAACAGATACCCATACGGGAGGTCAACAGTATCAGGCTCTTCGTCTTGTCGCCTTGACGAAGAAGGCCGCTCTTGCCTATGCTTGGTGCGTCTCTCAAGTGACTCATTGCCCTCATCGCTTGGTCTTCTGCGGCTCGTCATTTGTTTAGGGTACCTACAATGAAACATGTCAGCATTTAACTATATGAAACATGTCATGATGGTAATGAAAACTTGCAACATAAGCGCTGTAAACCAAAAGCAAACTTTTGCCCCATACAAACTTTTCAAACAAAAAAATTCACACAATGCAAAAAAAATAAACCTTAGTAGATTAGGGTTACAAAACCTACAACAAACGCTTTGATTAGAGTTCACAAATTCGGACAACAAACAAATACAAAAAATTCCTAAACCTAAAACACAATGCAAGTTAAGAAACCTTACCTATCCTTCAGATTTCACGATTTGGACCAAATTTGGGGGCAATCCACACGCCTAAAGGAAGGGTTTGGGGCGTTCTTCAGCTGCTCCTGCGGATTTGGGGTTTGAGCCGCCTCCTTAGTCGATTAGGTCATCCTACTCCCCCTCTGCCGAATGGGGGGTTTTTAAAAAACAAATCCGTCGATATTTAGTCGACTAAATATCGATACTTAGTCGACTAAATATCCCAAAAATGTAGTCGATTAAGATGATTTTTTAGTCGACTAAATTTGCGGTAGTCCACTTTCTGAAGATTGACCATTTGCTCGACTAAAACAGCAAGGTAGTCGACTAAAAGGGGGCAGGTTGGTGGATAGTTCTTGATCAGGGGAAAATTGGTTATTAATTAATTAATGAGGGGCAAAAGGGTCAAAAAGCCCGAGGTATTGCACAAACAAAATTAATATATTTTATTAAGTTTTGCACACCTCAGAATGTGGGTAGGTTTCAAGTGGGAAAGATGTGATGCTGACATGCTGTCTAAATGTTTACTAACGATAATTCTAAAATGTTCCATGTGAGCCAGGCAAACGAAATGAGTCACCAAAACCACAAACTCATCCAATGACTCTCTGAATTATGAAACAACACATTTAAGATGAATCAGATTTCTTGTGTGAAAAGACTAACTGTCATCACTGATTGCAAGTGTCAAGAACCCCCTAAAAGGAGAAAAATCGACAAGCACTCAATATATATTAAAGAACCAATATTTCTAAATTATATCACCAACCACTTTTAACTAATTGCCAAAATGGAGATTCTATTAACATTTTGGTATGTATTATTAACAATTCCTTTATCCCATTCTGCCTCTGCCTCAGCTCCTCCTTCAATGCCCATGATTAGCATCCCACTATACCACAAGGGAATGCTCAATGAAACTGCTATGGCCTCTGCAGGAGTTCATTTCCACCCTCAAATGGAAGCCGTAGCAGATATATACCCTGCTGATGATGCCTATGCAATATTCTTGGGGATTGGTACACCAGTGCAAATTGTACTAGTTAGAATGGACACAGGGAGCCCCATCACATGGTCCCAATGCGACCCTTGCAGCAACTGTTACCCCATGCAGCGCCCTCCCTTTAATACAAAGGCCTCAAGTACCTTCAGAGAACTTGGCTGTTATTCTGACACATGCTTGATCCCAATGATGAGGATCCTTTTTGGAAACTGCACAGAATGGACATGTAGATACAATGTGAAATATGGTAAGGAATCTCGCTCCTTTGGTATGATGGTAACTGATACACTTAACTTTGAGCATTCAAATACAGAGGTTAATGACTTCATCATGGGGTGTGGAGATTCTTATGAGGGCCCATTTAGGACACAGTTCTCAGGAGTTTTAGGTCTAGGACGTGGTCCACTTTCAGTTCAAAGTCAACTCCATGCAAAGGCTTTTTCTTTTTGCCTTGTGAGTCCTGGATCAGATAAACCATCCTCTCTAGAGTTTTATGACACAACACCTTCAGAAGATGATCAACATGGTGTTGGAAACAGTTCCATTATGGTTCCTTTGAGAGAGAACAGTAGATACCCTTACTATTACTTTGTGCAGTTTGTGGGTATAAGCATTAATGGGTTTATGCTAGATATTCAATCTACAGTTTGGGGTTATGGACTGAACTATGATGGTGGGGTTATTATAGATACAGGAACAACGCTAACTTATTTACCAAGTGATGCGTATAGTGTGTTCAGGTCAGAGATACGCAGAACAGATACCAACCTTACAAAGAAGACAGGACAACAGGGTTTAGAGTTTTGTTATAAAGATGATCCATCCAATGTCTATCCAACCATTGAACTTTACTTCGAAAATGGCGATATTTCGGGCGAAAATTTTGTGTCTTTCAAGTTGAACAATGACCAAATGCTTTTTAGAACAGAAGAAGGCGCAGTTTGCCTGTCATTTGCAGAACAAAAAAATTCTGCCCTTACGGTCATTGGTAGTAACCAACTCCAAGGAACACAATTGACTTATGATCTAGTTAATGAGATCCTAGTCTTCTCATATAATAAATGTTAGAAGATTAATAGAACCAATGGTTGTTTAATAGAGAATTATTTTTGGTCCTCATACTTCAGTTTGGCATTTGAACGTAATACACCCATTTAGGATGTTTGGCATTGTTCATAATTTGAACGTAAGCACAAAACTTGTTTACAATTTATTTTGGAATTCACAATATAAAATGAAATAAATTCACTAAAATATAACACAAGGAATAAATCTCGAGATGTAATGACTGCGTCTTGAACCTGGATCTATGCATACCTCCTCAAACATTATTTTGAGTGAAAGTAACACATAACACACATTCTTTCTACCAATTAATTTGTGGTCACCAAAATGGTGTGCAAAATAACTGCAATATATATATATATATATATAATGCTTCGGAGTTATTGCATATAAATTATCTGCATTTATTACCAAAACGACGTCATTTTGGTATTGAAATCTTAAAAAATTATAAATATAAAGACTATTATAACCCTGAAATAAATTAAAATTATAGAAACACCATGATTTCCGCCCGAAAACGACGTCGTATTAGGTTTACTGCAGATAACTTATCTGCAGTAACTGCAGAAAAAATGAATATATATATATATATATATATATATATATATATATATATATATATATGGAGAAAAGGTGTGTCATTTTAAATAACACATCTTGTGTACTTTTATTCTTACAAAAAAGTGAGACCCACATCTTTAAAACTTTTCCCCCCATTCTTTCTCTTATAATCTATCTCTTTTTCTAACTTAAAATAATACATATTGTTTCCGTAATATATATATATATATATATAGAGAGAGAGAGAGAGAAACGCGCGCACACACACGTTTAACTAAGTATAATTAAATTTTAGTAGTTTTAATTAAACTTCAATGCTATGCTGAGTGCATATGCAAAAAACTATGTGCATATTTTCCTTCGGTAGACTATTTCTTTCTCTATGTCTAAAGAGACCCACATGCAGTCATGTAGTTCAAATTCTGACGTGAATATGCAACAAGAAAATAACTACCATAAAAATCATTTCTAAGATACTGATCAGCTTTCCATCTTTCTTATCCGCGAAATCTCTTCGTTATATACATTACTCTCCCGTCTTTAATACTTATACATTACGTCAGGAATGGATAAATAGATCTGGTAATTGGAAGAGTGGTAAGAGAGATAGAGGTTGTTCATAGGACTGGGAAGGTAAAAACTGTGCAGGAAAATACCAGCTCTACATATTTTACCATTTTAGTCCTAGAAGAGATATTCAAAATGTCCAACATTATAAGTACGTAGAAGTTAACATTTTCACACACGCTAACTTGTTTTCATGTTTCCTGATCCCTTGTATATAAGGAGTTGAATTTATGTCTATAATATATATCTAACCTGTAATGGTAAGATTACAAGCTGGCAAAGCTAAAAGGAGATGCAAGAGGGCTATTGTAGTATAAAGAGGATTCATCCCTTATTCAAAAGTCATTGTTACAACTGTGGTTTAATGGAGAAACACAAAGTTGTATTCACTCCCACATCTAGCTAATTGTAAGAGAACATAATCACATTGGATAACAAAATCCATTGTCATCCATTAACCTCCGAGCCTACGTCCATTTGTATAGCTAATGAGGAAAAAATATTACATCTCGGAAATCGTCAATCACAGATATGAAGGTGCTACGAATTGTTTTCTTTTGTTGGGAGGAAGAATTGAAACATAAATATTTCCTAAAAAGAAAAGCAACGGAACTTTTGATACAACGACACAACTTACAAGGGTATTAAATGGGCTACCATGCCATGAAAAGTGCCATGCATTTACAATAGCTTAGAGAGACAGGGTGGTCTGTGGCTCCCCTTATCACCTGGGCCCAAGCTACCTATGCTCTGTACTTTGGCCTAACCTGCGAGTAGGGCTCCTTCTAGCTGTAGATGGAGACATGAAAAGCTTTCTAACCGAACCAATAGGGTCATCAACCTGCATGTTGGACACATGGTAAGATATTGAACCTCCTCATATGATAACTCCACTAGCAACAGGACATGTGCAGAAGTTCACAAAACTTTAAAAACAGTTTGAGAGGTACTTCCACAAATATCAGCAAACATGTATAAAATTGAGATTATACCAAGATTAAAATGTATCAATTTATAGTCTTCTTTGGATTATTATTATTATTATTATTATTATTATTATTAAAGAGAATAAATTCGTTAAGATGAAGCAAAAAAATTACAAAGAGGAAGCAAAAGTACAAAATAGAAGAGGAGAAAAAAGAGATAATCAAAGGGACAAAGCTACCAAATACCTTATCATATACTAGGGAAACCCCATTAAAAAAGGTATGTTTATGCCTAATCTTATCCCCATTAAGAAGGTCTGCTTATGTTTTATTAACATCAGCATCATTTATTCTACTTTGCATAATTGAACAAACGACTATTTAAGCAAACAGGTTAACCTTGGGCTCTAGTAAACAATCTTACCCATATATTTAACTTTTTGGTTTTCATTCAACTACCAAGTATGAGTTTGTCAAAGAATGGATTGCATAATATTCAAATAAAAATGATGTAATGTCATTTCAAGCACTCTTGTCCATCCATGATTTCCATCCACCACTTGGCTATTTAGTTTAGTTACCAATCCATTCTTCCAATGATTATGATATGAACCCACCTAAGATGCGAGTGTATCATAGGAAGCATTTCAGGGGATCTCATTCATTTGCTGATTCAGCAGCCAATGGGAGGGAATCTGTTACTGAAAACGGTTAGAGGAGGCATGCGAAGTAAGGCTTGGGTAGAAGGCTATCTGTAGTGGAATGTCAAGTGTGAGCGATAATTTTTGGGTCTGGACTTGTTGGGACTTAGGCCTTGGGAGAGAACCAGAGCTCTCTCTGTCTCTGGAATGTTATTTTCTTTTCTTATACTTCCTTTAATTCTGTTACAGTTTAGTGTAATTACATTTCTCAGATCTGGATGTTCAGATATATAATTACAGAAATACAAATTTCCTGTTTCCTTTAATCTGTTGATTCTATTTGGTTCCTGTTTGTTACATATTATTGCAAGAGTAAGATTCATAAGAAATACCTTGACAATGGATGTCGAGGATGGAGATTTATTTGGTGAATGCCGCAAACGGTTTTTCTGATGATACAAAGCAAACAGTGTTTGTTGCCATCCGGGTTCCCCAACCCCATCATTTATTGATGCAATCCAGGGGCAGAAGTGTCTGTGCTGCTTGATTGGATCAAATGCCATTGCTTTATCAGACAGTACAGGTCTAAGATCTTTCCCTGGGAAGAAAAGAGAATATTCTTAAACTTTTCATTTATCTTATAAATTAAGGGAAATGACAGGTCACCTATAGTGTCATGACAAAATAGACAAAATGATGCAATTGCCATTCATAATTTATATTGAAAGATGTAAAACAAAGATTTTTCTGAAAATTGATACATTTGATTTACACTGATAGTGGATATTTATACAAGAGTAAATGAGAAAAAAATGGATAAGAATGACTCAGCAATGAGTCATCAGCCCTATCCTATCTATAGAAGCACATTCAAAAAATTAAATTCCTATTAAAGGAAAAAAATCACTAATTATTAGGAAATAAAAGTGGAAAGATTTTCTACACTCCCCTCAAGTTGGGAGATAGATATTGGTCATTCCCAACTTGACAATCAAATCTTCAAATGCTGGTCTATGCAGACTTTTATATCTGCAATTTGTTCTTTGGTGGGGATGTATGTCATGCACACACTTCCATCATCTAATTTTTCTTTGATGAGGTGACGATCGACTTCAACATGCTTCGTTCTGTATGAACTGGATTCTGAGCAATGCTTACAGCTGCCTTATTATCAGAATACAGTCTTATGGCTAGATAATAGTTGATCTTCAATTCTTCAAGAAGTCTTCTTAGCCAAATTCCTTCACACACTACATAAGCAAGTGCTACACTACTCCTCGCAAGAACAATTTGCTTTTTACTCCCTGTCACTAGATTGCCCCATACATAGGTGCAATATCCCGAAGTAGATTTTCTATCAATAGCAGAACCTGCCTAATCAGCATCAATAAAGATTTCAACCATCCTATTGTATCCCTTGTTAAAGAAGAGTCCCCTACCAGGTGTATTTTTGAGATACCTCAGGAACCTCTACACTGCCAGGAATCCACTTCGAAGTCCAGTTCCAGCAGCCCAAAATGTCCACACTCTAATAACCTGCATCTTTCGATTGCTTTACGAAAAGGTACTAGATCTTCCACTGCCCATCCTATTTCTCAACATATCTCCTATGATAAATTGTCTCCAGGTTTCCGTGCATTCAACACAATGTTGGATAGTACAAGAATACCACGAAACATTCAGAAGGTTGAGGATCCCAAATGGAGGAATGTTGTACTTGAAGAAATGGACCCTAGAAAAAAATGGAACTTGGGAAACAATGGAATTATCAAGAGGAAAACAAACAGTGGGATGCAAATGGGTATTTAATGTTAAATTTAACGCTAATGGCAGTATCAACAACTACAAGGCAAGATTGGTAGCAAAAAGGTTCATCCTAACATATGGGATAGACTATCAAGAGACCTTTGCCCCAATAGCCAAGCTCAACAATATACGAGTTCTTCTGACCTTGGCAGCTAATCTTAATTGGCCCCTATAGCTGTTGGATGTGAAAAATGCATTCTTGAATGGTGACCTACATGAGGAATTGTACATGGATCCTGCACCAGTTTTTGAGAAAGTAGTTAGCTAAGTGTGTAAGTTGAAAAAAGGGGAGTTTCGGGACATGAACTTTGATGAATAATGCCATGGTGGGAGAGATAATCTCCAAAGACTGAATTGAAGTATTCTTTACCATTGTCGGTACAGAGGACTTTGATGGAGGTAGAGAATTGAGTTTGTATCATAGCATGAAAATTACGGAAGACTAGTGCAGTGTCTGATTTTTCTTTCAGAAGGTAGACCCAACAAACCCCGGTATGATCATCAATGAAGGCGATAAACCACCGAGCACCTGGAATGTTTTTTTTCACAAGATCGTCCCCATATATCACTATGGATGAGGGAGAAAGGGGAAGATTCTTTATAAGTCGTGGGAGGATATATGACTTGAGAGTGTCTTGCGAGTGGACAAATATCACAAGAGAAAGAACTAACATTACTAGTACAAAGAAGATCTGGTATCAACTTTTGAAGATAATGAAAATTGGGGTGGCCTAATCTACGATGCCACAACATTGCATCAGTACTAGAATCAAAACTAAAACCCGGGAGGCAGCTTTCCACGAAGTCAGCTTGAGTCTTCACAGGAGTTAGCTCTTCAAAGTAGTGAATTCCCCCGTCCTCTCTAGCACTACCAATCATCCGCTCCGAGCCCTATTCTTGAAAAACACACCCATGAATTGAGAACGCTATAACGCAATCAAGTTCAGATGTGAATTTACTAATAAAATTGAGGTTACACGACAAAGTCGGCACATGTAAAATAAAAGTCAACATAATATCCTCATAAAGTTTATAAAGAAACAATTCAACCCAAAAGCTTAAGCTGTTGGGTGAGGCTATATTAACGGTTTTGAGGATCGAACCTGGGACACGAGACTCTGATACCATATAAAGAATCAATTCAACCCAAAAGCTTAAGCTGTTGGGTGAGGCTATATTAACGGTTTTGAGGATAAATGGGCTCTTGTGTGAGAGGGCGTGTTGAGATATATAGTCCCACATTGGTTGTATGTGCAACTAATGTGAAGTTTATAAGGCCTTGGGCACTCCCACCCTTTGAGCTAGCTTTTGGGGTAGTATATCCCAAGATTCTTTACAAAGTTTAACCGACCCCTTTCCTGCGATTTGTGAAAAACTTCCATCTGCTAGTTTTACTCGAGAGGTCTCATAACATGGAATGTAAGAGCAAAACAATGTTGAATCACCTATCATGTGATCGGATGCACCAGAATCAAGAATCCAACAGGTGTTATTGTAGACATGAAAGGCAGTACCTTGTTGGGCCACAAAACTGGTTATTTGCAATGCCAAACTTTTTTCAGATGACGGTGTGTTAGCTACAGCGGAAGAGACGAGTGAAGCCATGAGAGAAGACAAAGTTTACCCATGTAAAGAACCATTTCAACCCACAAGCTTAAGTTGTTAGGTGAAGGCCTTTTTAATGGTTTATATTATTCTCTAACACGCCCCCTCACACGAGAGCTCATTGGAGTTGAAGGGTGGATGATGTATCAAGTCTAGCCTACCTGTTCTAAGAAATTCTACAAGAAAAAGTGGGCAACTGTGAAGATCGGACCCGAGACATGAGACTCTAATACCAATTGTTGGGCTGTGCAGGGGGAGCTTATGGCGGAAAGAGACCGCCAACCATGGGCCAAGTGAGCAATGACATTAAGTGGACTTGGAACACCACAATCAAACCCAAAACCTTAAGGCATTAGGTGTATGGGTCATTCCACTTATATGGTGCTCACTTAGTCCATTCTTAACCAATGTGGGACTTTTTCACTCCATTATTCACACCATGGACCAATCAACCATTAGCTCTGATACCAAGTAAAGATTGAATAATAGAATAATTGTATGTTACAATGTACAAGAGCTCTCTATTAAAAGAGACTAAATGACCTAATAGGCTAAGCCCACAAGATGTGGGACTATATACACTGAATTATTCTAAAAACTACTCTAACACTCCCCCTCAAGCTGGTGCGTATATATTGTAAGCACCCAGCTTGCCGCAAATGTATTCAACCCGAGGACCTCTCAGAGTTTTAGTAAAGACATCTACGAGTTGATCATTGGAGTTGACAAATGCCGTTTTGATTTCTCCTGACTGAATCTTTTCTTGAATGAAATGACAATCAATCTCTATATGTTTGGTTCTCTTATGAAAATACAAGATTAGATGATATATGTAGCGCAGCTTGATTGTCACAAATGAGTGTTATGGGTTGTTTCTATTCACAAAGATGGAGTTCCCAAATCAACTGCTTTAACCAGATTAGCTCGAAGGTAGCAACTCCCATTGCACGATACTCGGCCTCTACACTAGAACGGGCAACAACAGTTTGTTTCTTACTTTTCCAAGAAATCAGATTTCCTCCAAAGAAGACACAATAGCCTGAAGTAGAGAGCCTATCTGAGGGTGATCCTGCCCAATCGACATCTAAATAACCACAAATTTCTGTATTTCCCTGATCTGAATATAATAAGCCTTTCTCGGGTGCTCCTTTGATGTACCAGAGGATCCTCACAGCAGCATCTCAATGAGAATCATAGGGAGAGTCAAGGAACTGACTAACTACACTAACAACAAAATAAATGTCCGGCCTAGTCACAGTGAGATAATTAAGCTTCCTAATCATTCCCAGGATCAAATAATGGCTCTCCCTATCCGGGTAGTAATTTGATAGTAGAATCCATGGGTGTATTAATCGACTTACACCCCAACATACCAGTCTCCTCCAGGATATCTAAGACATTTCCTTTGACAGATAGAAATTCCTTGTCTAGACTATGCTACTTCAATTCCTAAGAAGTAACGGAGCTTACCAAGATCCTTCGTTTGAAATTGACTGAACAAATACTGTTTTAACTGGTGAATCTCGTCTTGATCACTTCCAATGAGAATAATGTCATCAACATAGACTAACAGATAGATGCACTTGTCAGGAGATGTGAGCCTATAAAACACAGAATGATCAACCTTACTGCAGATTAAGCTAAAAGCCAAAACGGCAGAACTGAAACAGCTGAACCATGCCCGAGGAGACTGCTTGAGGCCATATAAGGATTTATGAAGGCTGCATACCTTCCCAGACTCTCCCTGAGCAATAAACCCAGGTGGTTGCTCCACGTAAACCTCTTTTTGTAAATCACCATGAAGAAAAGCATTTTTAATGTTTAGTTGAAGGAGTGGCCAGTAACGAACAGCAACAAGGGCAAGAAACATACGAACAAACGCCATCTTAGCAACAAGAGAGAACTATAGTCAAGACCAAAAATCTTAGTAAAACCCTTGGCGACTAAGCGTGCCTTGAGACGATCAATATGGCCATCAGGCCCAACCTTGACATTAAAAACCTACCGGCAACCAACAATAGACTTCTCCGGAGGAATAGGAACAAGATCTCAAGTGTCATTGAAATGAAAAGCAGTCATCTCATCAAGCATCGCTTGGCGCCACCCTGGATGGGAAAGTGTTTCACCTGTGGTCTTAGGAATAGAGATAGAATAAATACTAGAAACAAAGGTGAAATGAGGAATAGAAAAACAGTCATAGCTTAAAAAGGTATACAGAGGATAAGGGTTACGAGTAGTACACATACATTTTCTTTGGGCAATGAGAAAAGCCTCTGGTATAGGAGCCGGAGGGGAAGAGGTGACAAGAGAAGGCGATGAGTCACCCGGGGTCAAGTCCGCAGGAGGCACTTTCTGACGACGCTAATAGGTGAGAAAAGGACGATCCTTGGGGATGGAGGAACTTTTCTCTGGAAGAGAGTCACCTGCAGCTGGTAAAGACAAGTCAAGAAAAGGAACAAGAAGAACCTGATCAACCTGTGATAACTGAGATGGATTAGAATGAAAGGGTGGTTGATCAAGAAAAGTGACATCAGCGGAAACAATATAGCGCTTAAGATCAGGAGAATAACAATGATAACCCTTTTGAAGACGAGCATAACCAAGAAAAATACACTTAAAGGCTTTGGATGTTAACTTGTCCTTACCAGGAGTGAGATCATGAACAAAACAAGTACAACCAAAGACATGTGGATATAGAGGATAAAGAGGAGCATCTGAAAACAATAGGTTATAGGGAATGTCATTGTTAAGCACAGAGGAAGGCATGCGATTGATGAAAAAACAAGAGGTGAGTACGGCATCCGCCCAAAAGTGAATAGGAACCTTCATGTGAATAAGAAGGATACAGGCAGTTTCAATGAAATGCCTGATTTTACATTCGACCACCCCATTTTGTTGTGAAGTGTGAGGACAAGTGGTCTGGTGTAAAGTACCTTGTATAGCCAAGAAATTAGAAAAGTCAAAAGAAACATATTCCTTAGTATGATCACTACGTAAAATACAAATAGAAACACCAAATTGAGTATGAACCTCAGCAGAGAACTTTTTATAAATGGAGAATAACTCAGAACGATTTTTCATTAAATAAACTCAGGTACAATGGGAATAATCATCAATAAAAGTAACACAATACAGAAAACCTAAAACAGACAAAGTACGACTTGGACCCCAAATATCTGAATAAATAAGAGAGAAGGGAGCATCAGCTCGTTTACTGACTCAACTAACAAAGGATGAACGTGGGTGTTTCCCTTGTTGACACGAAGGACAATCTAAAGATTGAATACCAGATAAAAGAGGAACCATCTTTTGCAATTTTGAAAGACTTGGATGACCAAGGCGACTGTGGATAAGTTGTGGAGATTCTGTGAGAGCACATGAATGGTTAGAGAAAGTAATGGTGCACGTGAGGGAGTGGACCAATTGGCTAACAGAAATTAAGTTATAAAGGATGTCAAGGATGTAATAGACGGATGTTAAGGTCAAGGTAGAGGTCGGACGAGCTTGTCCAATCCCACGAACTAGGGCTTTGGTTCCATCAGCAAGGGTAAAAGAAGGTAAATGATCAGAATAAGTAAGAGACATAAATAGTTCCTTATTACCACAAAGATGATCGGTAGCACCCGAGTCAAATATCCATGTAATCAAACCATTAAAAATACCCTCACCCAACACCTTAAGGTTTTGGGTTGAAGTGGTTCTTTATATGGTATAAGAGTCTTGTGTCCCGAGTTCGATCTTCACCGCCCCCACTTTTTCTTATGGAATTTCTTAGCACAGGTAGGCTGGGCCTGATGCATCATCCACCCTTTAAGCCCAATGGGCTCTTGTGTGAGGGGGTGTGTTAATGTATAATATAAACCATTAAAGAGACCTTCACCTAACAGCTTAAGCTTTTGATTTGAAATGGTTTATATTATTCTCTAACAACCCAGAAAAGTCACTGGGAAAAACAGAAAAGTCGCTAGGAAATTTTTTCAACGGCCTCTAAGATGGTGATTGGCTAGGTTCTGCTCAAAATTTGATTCTGCGTTGACTGGTGCCCTCACTTTGGTGATTAGGCCTTCACAGATGAAGATTTCGGCAAAAAATAGCAACAAGCTTGGGGTTTTTTCGTGAAAAACAATGGAATTTTTTAAAGGCATTTCTAAATGGCTTGAGAACAGTGGAACAAATTGCGTGAGATTCGATGAACATTGTTTCCGGCGTGAACAGTGTCTCCGGCGGACAACACAAATAGTGCGCGAATAGTGTTTCAAGTAGGAACAGTGCGTGTTTGGCTAGGACCGAACTAGGGTTTTTTATGGATGGAACATAACCCAGCTCTTGATACCATATTGAAAGATGTAAAATAAAGGTTTTTCTAAAAATTGATACATTTGATTTACACTGATAGTGGGTATTTATACAAGAGTAAATGAGAAAAAATAGATAAAAATGACTCAGCAATGAGTCATCAGCCTTATCCTATCTGTAAAGAACCAATTCAACCCAAAAGCTTAAGCTGTTGGGTGAGGCTACATTAATGATTTTATATATCTCAACACGCTCCCTCACACGAAAGCCCACTGGGCTTGAAGGGTGGACAATACACAAGCCCAGCTACCTGTGCTAAGAAGTTCCACAAGAGAAAGTGGGGGGCGGTGAGGATCGAACCCAAGACACGAGGCTCTGATACCATGTAAAGAACCAATTCAACCCAAAAGCTTAAGTTGTTGGGTGAGGCTACATTAATGATTTTATATATCTCAACACTATCCATACATGCAAATTCAAAAAGTCAAATTCCTATTAAAGGAAAAAATCAATCATTAATTAATAGGAAATAAAAGTGGAAAGATTTTCTACAATTTATGTCATTCAGCAGTAAATGAACAATTAAGTATAGACTACTGCACAAGTGAAAGAACTAGGGACACAAAAAAAAATGCATGTATAATGCAATCCATATTCGATGGTCATTATTTACAATGGAACTAAACAAAGTGCTTACCTAAAGTACAATTTACTTCTTCATTGTTCATGGGATTCTCTAATCTGTCTTTGACACTGACCCCATAATTTTTAAGACTACTGACTTTTCCACCCGAAGTTTTCTGTGAAACAGAAATTGCTTCACCATCTGTTAAGTCTTTCTGCACCAGCAATATAACAATTAAAATGGACTTCCAAGCAAGATGCCATACCAGACAGAAGACTATTTAAGAACAACCAAAGTAACTTATGTATTGCAACATATTTTTGCTTCTCAATTTTGTTACAAATTGCAATTACCAGCTGCAAGAAGCAGTCAAATTTTCTACTGAAATCAATATATCAAATTAACTGTCTGTTTGACATAAAGAATCTCTAACCTGAGAGCTACTAGGATCTCCTGCATTGAAGCTGTTCAATCCATCAGCCCCTGTGTGTATAAGCATCTTATCATTATCACTGGAAGGCTGTCCTGTATAATGGGTGCCCTTTGTAACATCATCTACTATAACTGATTCATGAATACTTGCTTGAGAATCAGTTTGACAATCCAAAATTTCCCTTATTTCAGATGGTACAAGAACAAGTTGTCCGGTAGAAGCATTAATTGCTTCATCCTTGTTCACCTGAATCCTTCTTTTCTTCTGTGAATTAGATTGAATACCATCTTCATCAACAAAAGCGTGATCTCCAAAATCAGAATCATAAGACAGCCGAGCCCTTAAATTCTGACCAATAACAGGAAAAGATATTATTGCTTTAAAATTTTGCTCTGTTGGGGGAGGACCACCAGCAATTGTCATCTTTAGACTTGAAGTTATATCCTTCGATGATGTTGCAACATCTGAAATGTCGTTAGTTACACCCTGCCTATTATCAAGATCACTTATATTTAATAAATTGTTTGTCCCCGAATCATTTTTGCCATTCAGTTCTGTATATCCTACTAATCTGATTAATTCAACAGGCTTAGGAACTGTACCAAATGCCCACAATCCAACAGTAGCTCCACACAGGCTACAATCTAAAACTACAGAATTGGGATCCATTTGTTCTCTTCTAGGATCCTTTGAATTTTCATCTATTTTCAAACTTTCACCAGTATTAGTGGATTGGACAATGAGGCTATTACTCTTCATGCCACCAACTACTTGAGAGTCTAGAATAGCATTACTTTTAGCAGACTGATCCGATGCATCCTTGCAATCAACTTGGTAACATAGAGCACGGGGATTCCAACCACATAAACTTAAGAGCTTTTGAGCCTTCAAAATTTAAAAACACCATTAAGCATCATCTAAAAGGGGAGGAAACAAAGAAATGAAGTATATTTGAGATGTCAAAAGAAGAATAAGATAATGAAAGTCTATTAATATTAATTGAATGAATCTGTCTTACGTACCAATGGTGACAAGAAAAATAAGGGTAAACCAGTATTTGTGCTAAAGAATGATCCGGAAGTCCAAATAAAGGAATTGACCTTATAGGGGGCATTGGACTTCCATGGAGGTTTATAAGATGGGAAGTAGCTCTATTCAATGGATGAATTGGAAATTGGAAAAAGGATTTGCAAGCAAAATCCCAAGAAGGTTTTCAGAAAATTCTCTATTATTTCAGTTGCAAAAAATGTGGGAATTCAAAGAAAAATGGGAAACTTAAATGCTATAGAATTTCCGGATAAGAAAGCTATTTAGGGAAGAAAGAACATAAAGACATGGGAAAGCATCTCTAAATAAGAAATCTCCTATCCAATGGTCCATGCCAAAAATTGACATGAGAACCATGACCTACCTTCAGGGAAAACAAAAACCTAAAGGAAGCATATCCCTATAAACTAGACAAAAATGTGAAGCACGGATTGCTGTATTGGTATCCCACCCATTTTGATTTAATCTATACTGACTTCACATAGCCAGTGCCAAAGGGAGCAGGGTTCAAATATAGAAATAATTTATTATGTTTTATATTTTAAATATAAAATAAAATTATACTTACACAAAAAATATATGTATTATTTTACATCTTATTTAATTAAAAAATAGATAAAATATGTTAATGAAGATAATAACAAAAACAGAAAACCCCAGTTTCAGCCCACACAAGCAATGTCAAGCAAGCCCAATCTTTCCCAGACTCAGAAATCGGAAACCCTAATTTCAGTTTTGGAGAGAGTCGCCACCACACGAGACAAAAATACATTGTCTTGTATCAGAGGCTAGGGATTTGCACAGGGGCAGTCACTAGAGAAAGGCTCGAACGCAATGGAGAGATGGTTCTGTCACTTGGGTAGGGTTAGCAGGTTTCCCTCTTCTCTCTTTGTTAAATTCTCCTGGAGTATATGAAAGATAAACAGGTTCTGGGTATATGAAAGAGAAATGGGTTCTCTTTTCGCAGATCATCCGAAGCGGTAAAATCGCACGATTTCACCGTTTTTTTTATGTTGCTCGGCAATCCTATGTGATCTCAGACAAACACGATCCTACAACCGAGTTGGATCGTCCATGTCAAAAGAACTCATAGGATCATATGATCATACGAATTGGCATACGATTTTGACTACCTTATTCAGGACGATAATAAACCTCCCAACCTCCCAACTCACTAAATGACCATGTATGATGTATCGCATAGAAGCAAACATAGAAAGTGGTAGAATGGACAAATTCTAGCTTATAAGAAAATTGTCAGGTTCACTCAGAAGTACAAAGAACAATAACACGAATCAATTGTCAGGTTCATGCTTAGCCTACTAAGAACAATAAGAATTCTTAAATCTTAACATCCTAACAAAACATGTTATACCTGATAATACGACTTCAATTCATGTTGACTACTGAGACTTTCTATCCCAGAACTGTTTGCAGACTCATTTCCACATTCCAACATCAAAGACTGTTCAAGAAAATCTTCCAGTAATGGGTTTTTCATGTAATCTATTGCCGATGATGAAATACACGGAAGAGCTGATAGTTGCATGAAAGCAGAGCAACGTTCTCTAAAATTATCAACTAATACAGGGGGAGGTGTAGGTGGAAATCTTGCAAGTGTTTCATCACAGGTATTGTCAATCCACGGACAAAGTAATTTATGTCCATTATCCAGCTTTAAGCTGAAGACTAGGGCTGCCTTCTCCACTGAATAAAATACATTCTATTTAGGAATTTCATACAATCAAATGTTAATGTTAATTAAATAAAAATGAGAATAACAGAATACACTGCTGTTGATTCCAAGAAGCTGGCGTAGAAAAAAGAAGACGTGAACCACACACTTCACAGGCTATGGTGTCAATATCCACATTGATCCAACCTCTTCTAGCACAATTTACTGCACTCACTACCTGTAAGCATCATAAGTAAAAAGATATGACACAATAGCTTAGGGGAGATATCATATAGCAGTTCAGCTGTAGATAAAAAGTTTTGAACAATACAGCTGAATCATATATTGACAGAGGGAAGATGGGAAGCATGAGGCAATAGGCTTTCTTGAATAATAGATATTATATGCCATGACGCCACTGCCTTAAAAAAATGTATAAGGCTTTCAGCTAAACATTGTCAAAGAAAGACAATTTTCTAATTTAACAGAACTCTTGACATTCTTAAATAAATGCAAACAAATTTAGCAGACATAATTTAGTTTTCCTTCCTCCTAAAGAAATATGCATCCCTTCAACAGCATTTCCTATTCCTATAGATTGGTGGAGGACTGTTCAATTTCATCTACAAGATAGATCCACAAAATCCAAGGCCACAAGCTTCGAAATTATTTCCTCCTTCACAACATTTTTTCCTCCAAGATACACTATTATTCAATAGAGAAAACAAACAATAAAAGAAATAATTATTAGCTTAGCAATAATTCTTTCATATCAGAAATTCACTTCAGATTTTCTTTCAGCATTCCCCGAAAACACCAGATCATCTATTTCACATTTTTCAAGCATTCAAGCAATGAAACAAGTATTTCAGAACTTGCAGAAAACCCGAATCCTGCCATAACTAACTTCAATGCTGTTCATCACACCCCCATCCAAGTCATAACACCAAAATTCAATCTTCCATTTCCTCAAAACATAAAAGGGAGAACACACCTACTCAAAGCATTAGATCATAACCATGATGCCAGAATGCAGGTATGCATTAAAATTAAATTAAATAAAAGAACAAGAATGAGAACTTATTTTCTAAATAGGTAAAGAGATAGGGGGAAAAAAAAAACCTTGGGTTTAGCAAACCACGATATAGACTTAAAGGTGGCTAATCTTCTCATAAAGTCACCACGATCCCACGGTCTACATAACGGTGCTTGAGCTGTTGCCGATGAGGGTTGCTGTCTCTCACTACTCACATTTGGTTCTATTGTCATTAACCCTAATGAAGTTGACTGAAAAGGACGTTTCCTACCAGATAGTTGCACTTCAGAGGAGCTGCAAACAGAAATACACAATAACTGAAATTCAACAACCTATAATGATGTGGATAAATTTGTTATCACCAACTCGTGTTTCACTATTCTCCATAAGAATCCAGAAATACACATGTAAAGGTGAAGAGAACAGACACAAACGATTCTACAAGAGCAGCATTACAAAAAAAATTCATTGTTATTAAATGTGAAATGAAAATCGAATGAATAAAAGGAAGAGGAGATGATGGAAAGAACCTGGAGGGGGAAGAACGGAAGAGCTTGTCCATGATGGAATGGAACCTCTTGTCGGAATCGTGCGCCATCTCGATGTTAATGTTCGCTTTCTTCTATTCAATGAAATTGCGAAGCCGACTCAAGTTTCGCAGTTTTGATTTGGTTTCAAGCAAAGAAGCTGAGGGGCCGCGATAATGAATTTGAAGACCCACCCAGCAAGTATAAATCACAAGGCCCATTTCATCCTTCACTCTTTTTTTTTCTTTTCTTTTCTTTTCTTTTTTTCTATAGTGGGGTGTATTGGATTAGGATTCTAAAAGATTTTTTTTAACTAAAAAATCTTATAGATTTTAAAAGGCTATTTAGAATTGGAGAAACTTTAGGTGGTGTTTGGTTGGGGAGAAGTGAAAATTTTGATGGGTAACTGCATGTGGGTATCTGTCATTACCACGTTTGGTTGAAGGTTTTCACTTGATTTTCCCATCTAAACTAGATGGCTAGCAAAGGAGGAAGAGACCAAAAATTAGAGAAGTGCACTGTTGAGAAACCCCTTTGAAGATGTGGAATTGCTATTCAAAACTGGATAAATGAAAAAGTTTTTAATCACAGACAAGTTTACCCCTGCGATTCTTATCACAAACACCTCTAATCCATGTATGCTTTTTGTGAAACAGAGGCGTCTTTTCTCTATATTCTAATAGGGAATGTTGTCTTCCTCAATTGGGAAAAAAAGTTCCTACCATCTTCTAATTCAATGGTCCATATAGCAGTGATGAACTCTTAATAATTGGGACAATCAATAAAACCAAGGTTGTTTTACGAGGATAGTTTCGTAATTTCATTAAATTTTCCCATCAATATTTTATCTTCAACCAAACACACATTCAGAAATTTAATTCAATTTTCCTGGTAAAATTTTGCCCAACCAAACAACTTTTTTAAAACTTTCCTATCTAACTCACTTTTCCTCCAGATCCCTAGTATTTACATTTCTCTAGTATTATAAAATTTCTCCCCAACCAAACACTACCTTAAAGACTTTTTTTTTACAATCAAGATTTCATAAGATTGGATTTTAAAGAATTTTAAAGGATTTTAATAGAATTTTTAAAATTTGAAAGGACAATATGGATTTATAAGATTTTAAAAAACCATATGAATTTTAACAAACATTCAAAATTACAAGAGTCAACCTATTTTTGTTTACAACATTTTATAATCATATCTTAACCGTTGATTTTCGTCAATCAACGGTTATCATTCATTGCAAATTAAATATTAATTAATGAGTTTGATTTGCAAAAATAATAGCCATTGATTGACGGAAATCAACGGTTAAGATATGGTTGTAAAAAATTATAAATAAAAATAAGTTGTAAGTATAATCTTTCCCATAAAAAAAATAACAAAGAAATGCAATGAAATTAATAAAAAAAATAAAACCTAATATAATTTTCTCAATCAGTAAATTATAATATAATTTTAAACAAACATTCAAAATTACTAAACAACAGCTTTTTACATATCTAATGGGTTGAAAATTATGTTCTTCATTTGGTATCAAAGCTATGCATATATGATTATAAGACCCAATTTTTTTTAATTATAAAAATAATTCTAAATTTGCATATAGAACCTAAAGTTCATAATAAAATTTCGTTTGGAATTTTTTGCAATTGATCTTGAAAACTTTGGGGTTTTGTTTTACGTGATGAGAGTTTTCTAACCATATATCATATGCATATTTTCATTGAATATTCTAAGAAAAATTCGAATCTGAAATTTTGGGTTTAATTACATTAAAGTTTAGAAAATTTCTCAAAAAAATTTCAATCGATACATTGAAACCTTAAATTGCTTTGGGGCTTTTGAGAAACAAGATTTTAGTTATCTATTGACACAGAAATTGTTTGAAATCATTTTCTATAGTGAAGGAATTTTGTTCATGAATGTATTGTTACGAAATATAGGGTTCATATTATGAAAGTTTCAATCTTTCATTAAATTGATATTATTTCATTGATGTAAAACAAAAATTGGTTTGAGGGTTTAGTTCCCCTGTTATTTTTTCACTATTTTATGTTGTTTTTAATACAAAAAGCACACGTTTTATGCCAAGAATAATCGTGACCCATAGCTTGAAAAATCACTTTTTAAACCTCCAAAATTTCTCAGAAATGGCTCAAAAATATGTTTTTTTTTAGTTTTGACGAAACTCCCATGGCAAAACCCAATTTCGAGCAGTCAACCTGCCAAAGGAAGAAGAAAGCAATGCAACTGAAGAATCTCAAGAAATCCTAGGGGTTAGAGTGAGATTGTGAGAGAGGCATCCTATTTATATTTTTCACTAAAAAGTTTCACAAAATCCACACCAATTGAAAATCCATTAAAATCGTCGGATGTTTGAATACCACAAGATTGTGATTCCATTGTTTAAAATCCTGATTGAATACCAATGGATTTTTGAAGCCCTTTGTTGGGTTGAGTTGAAGCTCAAGGCTGAGGCAGAGCTTTTAAAATTGAAGCCCTTTGATGGGCTGAGCTCAAGGTCAAAGCCGAGCTTATAAATTTGAAACCCTTAGTTAGGCTGAGCTCAAGGTCGAGGCCGAGCTAATAATTTTGAAGCCCTTTGTTGGGCTGAGTTGAAGCTCAAGGCTGAGGCTGAGCTTTTAAACTTGAAGCCCTTCGTTGGGCTGAGCTCAAGGCTGAGGCCAAGCTAATAAACTTGAAGCCCTTCGTTGGCCTGAGCTCAAGGCTGAGGCCGAGCAAATAAATTTGAAGCCCTTAGTTGGGATGAGCTCAAGGCCGAGGCCGAGCTATTAAAGTTGAAGCCCTTCATTGGGCTGAGTTCGAGGCTGATGCCGAGCTTTTAAACTTGAAGCTCTTTGTTGGGCTGAGCTCAAGTCCGAGGCCGAGCTAATAGATTTGAAGCCCTTTATTAGGCTGAGCTCGAGGCTGATGCCGAGCTTTTAAACTTGAAGCCCATTGTTGGGCTGAGCTCAAGGCCGAGGCCGAGCTATTAAAGTTGAAGCCCTTCACTGGGCTGAGCTCGAGGCTGATGCCGAGCTTTTAAACTTGAAGCCTTTTGTTGGGCAGAGCTCAAGGCCGAGGCCGAGCCATTAAAGTTGAAGCTCTTCATTGGGCTGAGTTAGAGCTCAAGGCCGAGGCCGAGCTATTAAACTTGAAGCCCTTTGTTGGGCTGAGTTGAAGCTCAAGGTCGAGGCTGAGCTTTTAAAATTGAAGCCCTTTGTTGGGCTGAGCTGAAGGCCGAGGCCGAGCTAATAATTTTGAAGCCTTTCATTAGGCTGAGCTCGAGGCTGATGTCGAGCTTTTAAACTTGAAGCCCATTGTTGGGCTGAGCTCAATGCCGAGGCCTAGCTATTAAAGTTGAAACCCTTCACTGGACTGAGCTCGAGGCTGATGCCGAGCTTTTAAACTTGAAGCCCTTTATTGGGCTGGGCTCAAGACCGAGGCCGAGCTATTAAAGTTGAAGCCCTTCACTGGGCTGAGCTCGAGGCTGATGCCGAGCTTTTAAACTTGAAGCCCTTTATTGGGCTGGGCTCAAGGCCGAGGGCGAGCTATTAAAGTTGAAGCCCTTCACTGGGCTGAGCTCGAGGCTGATGCCGAGCTTTTAAACTTGAAGCCCTTTTATTGAGCTGGGCTCAAGGCCGAGGCCGAGCTAATAAATTTGAAGCCCTTCATTAGGCTGAGCTCGAGGGTGATGCCGAGCTTTTAAACTTGAAGCTCATTGTTGGGCTGAGCTCAAGGCCAAGGCCAAGGCCGAGGCCGAGCTATTAAAGTTGAAGCCCTTCACTGGGCTGAGCTCGAGGCTGATGCCGAGCTTTTAAACTTGAAGCCTTTCGTTGGGCTGAGATCAAGGCCGAGGCTGAGTTAATAATTTTGAAGCCCTTCGTTGGGCTGAGTTGAAGCTCAAGGCTGAGGCTGAGCTTTTAAACTTGAAACCCTTCGTTGGGCTGAGCTCAAGGCCGAGGCCGAGCTAATAATTTTGAAGCCCTTTGTTGGGCTGAGTTGAAGCTCAAGGCTGAAGCCGAGTTTTTAAACTTGAAGCCCTTCGTTGGGCTGAGCTCAAGGTCGAGGCCGAGTTAATAATTTTGAAGCCCTTTGTTGGGCTGAGTTGAAGCTCAAGGCTGAGAGGCCGAGCTTTTAAACTTGAAGCCGTTCATTGGGCTGAGCTCAAGGCCGAGGCCGAGCTAATAATTTTGAAGCCCTTCGTTGGGCTGAGCTTAAGGCCGAGGCCGAGCTAATAAATTTGAAGCCCTTAATTGGGCTGAGCTCAAGGCCGAGGCCGAGCTTTTAAACTTGAAGCCCTTTGTTGGCCTTTTTTATGCCGTGGTCTTTTGATTCGAGCCCCGCTTCTTTCGCGGGGGCTTTTTAATCTAAACCCGACTTTTTATGCCGTGGTCTTTTAATTTATAGTCCCGCTTCTTTCGCGAAGGCTTTTTTATCTGATCCTGGCTGTTTACGCCGTGATCTTTTAATTTGAGCCCCGCTTCTTTCGCGGAGGCTTTTTTTAATTTGAACCCGGCTTTTTATGCTGTGGTCTTGTAGAGACGAAGATTCTCGTTGGCATTGGGGTTCTTGAGCTTCTTGCACGACGATCGCCCTTCATGCTTTTTTATTTCATGGTGAGTCCCGTTGTATTAAGATTTGGTTGTGGCAGCGCTTCTCTTGCTACCGCGGTGATTATCTATGGCTTTACGCTTGTGCTTTGCGTGCTCATTATAGTTGGGTGGGAATCGAATTTTACGGTTTTCCACATACGGCGCCAATGTTCGGTTCTATTAAACCGTATAACGATACCTCAAGGGTATGCGCTCAGAGATATCCTATGGATAGGTATCTTGGTTGGCTTATAGCCAATATCCCCATCACTGCGCACAAGCAATAGACTTATAGCCGAGACGTGGGTGTGTGCACAGTGTGGGCAGAAGTAGTAAATGAGTTCAAAGTGTATACCTGGGGTCTTTAACCTCTTATTTATAAAAGTTACGTCTTGGGCTTGTGTAGATCTCCCAGTTGTAGTAGGATTTAACTTCCTTTCTGTTTGGACAGGGACTCTATCCTTAGCTGCCTTACTGTTTTATATTGTTAGGATAATTGGAGAATTATCCTTTAAGGGATCCTTGGGTAGGTGGTTAGGATATGAAAATTCCATAACAAGTGGAAATAAATATAAAACATTAAATATGAAAAATCATAACCATACAAAGATAGAAATAAATATAATATTTTCATTTTCTACAATTAATTTTGAATGCAAACTTTCTTTATCCCACCCAAAACGATGTAGTTTTTAGGTGACTGCATCAATACTTATACAGTCACATTACAAATCATTTTGCCATATATATATATATATATATATATATATATATATATATATATATATATATTATGAAGAGTATCGATGGGAAAACATAGAAATAGATCATTTCATGTCTCATTTAATATATAATCAAATCATCTGAGACACATGAGAATCCATTAGGGGAAAAGAAAACATAATAGATGAACCGGAGGGAAAAGAGATAGAAATATCTTAGTTTCACGCTTTTTTGTCATATGCTCATGACTTGACCGTATGTATAAGGGAATATTGTTTCACATGTTACATGAAATGAAATAATTTGTCTCATATAATATACAAAAAAAATGGATAAAACTCACTTATTTTCTTTTTCTTTTTTTTCCTTAGTAAATCTCACTCATTTTTTTATATGTTGTTGTTAACATGAGAAACAATATCACTAATGTATAACTACATTAAAGTGAAGTATACTAAATAAAAGTTGCGGATAAAAGACTAACAAAAATCGACTAATGATAAAATATTTGTTCCCCTAACAAAAAGTCTCAGTTCAGTATTGAAAATGAAGTAAATAGTATTCCAAGAACTACTCACTATATAGATTCAAGGTGCTTGAACCGAACTAGTCATATAATTTATGAATCAAATAAAAACACCAAAAAAGTACAGAGTAGGTAAAAAAAATGTTATGATTAGTATTTTGATTGGTACACGAATTGCATCTTGAAAGATCAACAGCTGCATCAGAATAGGAAAGTAATACTTGGCAATTACTAATGAACAAGAGACCAATTAACTTGAAGATAAATAATAAAAAAAAAAACCTTACAAATTGGAAACATTGGATGAGAAACCGGTGATCATGTCGAATATTACAGTTCAAAATTGCGCATAACACATTCCAGTTGACAAATTCCGATCCCTCTAACAACCTAAATATTTGACGAAGTTACAGAATACATATCACAATATAAATTTGGGGTTCCTACCAAAACTTTCTGTTGTGGAGGGAGGGGAGGCGGTGGTTTTGTGGTTGACTGGAGATGGGAATCGCATTCACTATAAAGTGGTGGCATGTCTCCTGCTAATGCTTCCTTACAATTTGCGTATTTTCTTCCTATGCTTTGAAGCACTGCTATCTATATTCAGATTGACCTTCGGTGGGTTTGTGAAACAGAATGAAGCAGCAACAGCCTGCGCAAGTAAAGTAACTTTTACTATCATATTGTAGACTATATTATATATGATTTACTGTCCAACAATTTGACTTCAAGTTAGATAACTGAGATATTTATCTACCGGCAAGATGGCTTGGTACTTAATAATTATTCCATAAGCCGGACTACCATTGGGTGTACACAACAATTTTTTTTATAAAACCCCTGAATTTCAAGAATTTACCAATTGCTCGTATTAAATTAAGAAAATTATTACTTTCTGCAACTAACTAAAAAATACAGCCAACTTTTTCTGCAAAGTCATGGCGCAGAACTTTACTCCTGCAGTAGCTAGCATAATGTCAAACAGAGGCGTGAGAGAGTTTAAAGTATTTAGCCATGCCCATGAGCAAAGAGAGAAAAAGGGGGGAATAAATATGCATGATAGCACAAAAAAGAGAGGAAAGATTGACAGTATTTGACACAAGATGTGTTAGGTAAGGAAGGGGTGAATGGACCTGATTTATGAGAAAGAAAGAGGAGTGGAGTAGGTAACAAAGGGGAACATAGAAAGGTTATCAATAACTTGTTACCCCCCTCTAACAATTTGATCAACTTAACTGCAAATGTCTAACATACCATGAACCCTTTAACTAGGGATTCAAACACCAAAAATCCTTCTTTATGATGCCATTTTAATTATATTTGTTTCAGTAGTTTATTATTATAATCTTATTATTCACTCAACCATTACAATCTGCCCCTTATTCTGAAATTTGAGATGAAAATATGAGAATTCCAAGAGACAGTTGATTTATAATGTCAGACATAGTATGTGTGTGTTTGTACACACTACTTCAGACCTAGATCAATTCAGATATTGTATCTGTCTATTTGATAGACATGAAAAGACAGAGTGCCAGAAATCATGGAAATAAAGATGACGTAAAATGTAACGAAAAGGTTGTACCTGTAAATCAAGGCGGTGAACATTGAATATATCCTTCATAGAATGTGAATTATATGCTAATATATATGACCTATAAGCCTCTTTAGCCATATTGTTCAAATGATAAATGCTAGCCACCAACTTCTCCTGCACGATCCAGATGGTGCTTATGTAAGATAAGCTGCAGTTGACTACTATATTAAATAAAAATTTTAATTAGCACTTCAAGAAGCAGGAATATACCAGTTGAGACTGTATATTTGCAAGCTTCTTGTCATCAAATGCATACTCTTTCACAGGGACCTTTGCTGCCTGAAGTTATGCATAAATATAAAATTTTAAATTCAAGATAATCTAAAAATAATATTTCAAAGACCTATAATCGTATATTGTATTTTCATTTCACCGCTTAATTTAATATATTTCCACAGGGAACAAAACCACTGCCTTCTTCTCTTATATAGGCTTGATTCATTTGAGGTTTCCTCAAGTAATCTATATTGCAACTTTCTAAGATAAAGCAACTGCATACATTCGAAGCGTCCCTTCTGCTATAAAGTGAGAGTAGCTGACCTTCAAATAGTGAAGAAATCGCAATTCTTCAGGAATCAGGAAAAGTAAAGCATTTCCTTTTCCACCTTCCCCACGAGCTGTTCTACCAACCCTATGGATGTATTCCTGGAAGCAGTATAATAACGTATGTTATACTGTGCATCAAAGTATAAGAATGCAAGGAAACAAATGGAAAAAGATAGTGAAAATCAATAAAGAACAGGAAGCACCTTAGGTTCATCAGGTGGATCATACTGCACAATCCAGTCCTATGAAGCAGAAAAGGAGAAAAGTTGATAAAATATTTTACATTCCCGTGAATGATTTCGAGTTAACAGAATATAATTGCAGCATAAATACAACAGTTCAATCAAAATTTGTTCAGTTTTACCATTCCATATTAACCAAACTAAATACATAAATCAACAGCTGCTTTCAGTTTAGCTTTGAGTGGAGTATCATAATAGGTAAGAACCCCAACTCATCTTGCTAACCCCCTTTAGACATCCAAGGACCATTCTATTGTTAAGTCTTTCAGTTGGACTGCGGAACATTTTACAATCAACACAAATGACTTCTGGTAGGTTACAGACCACACAAAAGTCCCTCTCCTAATGCTTTTGAGACCAGTAACCATTTATGCTTACACTGTCCAGCTGCTAGCTATTCGTGGTATAGACTCTATTTTTAGGAAAAGCTGGATGTTGGATATGTCTCAACATACATGATTTCAGGTTCTGAGAGGAGTAAAATGAGAAAGACTCTTGAGAGCAGTATTGATTGTATGCTAGCATTCAGGTTTTTGTTGTTGCCTGTATTATGGGATAATGTGGTCTTCTAAACCTTGTTATGTAGCTCAGCTACTAGCCCCCTAAGGGTTTTTATATTGGGCAAGTGGGGAATCTGGTGAGATTAACTTAGTCGATCCTATTTGTGCAGAATTTTTGACTCTTTGGTTTCTCTCCGGAGGATATCTTATCTTCTGCTTGTGTTTCTTTCTTGGATGTTTCTATATCCACATTCATCCAAGAGTGACCCATCAGCCAACAAAGCTATTAGCTAGGAACGGTTTCCAAAGTTCTCGAGTACCGGTGTACCATAAAATTCCCCTTCTTTCCTTCTCTTTAAAAAATTTATTCTTTGATACCCCCACCCCTTCTAATTTTATTTTACATTTTTTTTAGGAAGATTGTAGAAAGTGAGCAATAAGGTTCGAGTTTGGGACAAAAAAATACAAGGGTAAGGCTGCATAAAATCAACCATTACCCCACCCTTACAAAGTCAGAGAGCCTTATGCATTGGGGTTTGCCCTTAAAGAAGATTGTATTGTTCTCTTCTAATATTAGGAAGTTGTGATGGATTGTTTGCAAGTTGCAAGTTGCAACTTCAGAGTTTTGGGTGAAAACCTTGAAATTCTGATACAAATTAATCCCATTAATACAAATTCTGATACAAATTAATCCCATTAATGGGATTAATATCAGAATTTGTATTAATCCCATCAATACAAATTCTGATAAAAAATACAAATTCAGAAATATTCACATAACTCAATAAGAAAAATTAACATACCACATCAGGAATGTCAAGTCCACGAGCAGCAACATCAGTACAAAGCAAGATCCCCTTTTCTGCTTTGCAGAAGTTAAAGAAGGTAGTTGTCCGGGCATGCTGCTTTTGTTTTCCATGAATATTTAAGCAGTCCAACCCAGTGCATTTGAGAAGATCTGCATGGAATTTGACAGAGTTGCATGAAGAGAAAAAGACCATCACTTTTTTTGATTGATATCTCCTCAAGAATGAATAGAGAACAACAAAACGCTTGGCACAGGGAACAACAACATAGCCCTGCTGCAATCCTTCATTTGTAACCTACATTAATAAGGATCATGTCAGATATTATGAAAATGCTAAAAAACAAACTTCAAAGGTTATGATAGAAGTGGGGAGACATCACCTTTTTTCTCCCATCATCTACATCAATATAGATAGGAGTTGTCTGAAACGACAAGCGGGCAAGATCCTCAACCTGTAATTTAACAGGGAAAATTTATTTGGAAGCAGACAATAAGTAAGCAATATGCTTGCATTCCCCAGATTCTAACTTTCAAATATAACATGCATTATCAAGCATAAATGTACATTTATTTGACAATGATTAAACTTGCGTGAAGAAAATAAAATTGGAATCAAGATTTTGTTTCGGGGGAAGGAGCATGAAGAACATACCTTCTTTGTTTGCGTAGCTGAAAACAAAGCTGTTTGTCTTTTCTGTTAAATGAGAAACAGATTAATTAGCCATGCTCATACACATTAGGTAAAACCAAAAGCTAGATTTAAACTTACGCTACATGTAATGAACATGAGGGAAAAGAAGGGAAAGTTAAATAGGAGATATTGCAACCACATCTTAGCCTATAAAGCTCACCCCCAAACCTAAAAATGGTTAGTCAGATGACCACACATATTTGGAACCTTTACCAGATACACTGATAACGAAACCATATACCTACTACCAGCAGAAAAGCACTGCTTTTTTGTCAGAAAAAAAATGGTATTTTCAGAATGTTGCAGGTTTAACTGAAAGAAGCTTCCGACATTCAAAGTCAAAACTCACTCAGCAGTATAAAGTTAACCAATAGATGAAAATAGTTAATCCCGAAAAGTGGTGCAAAGTGGCAAACACCAAAAACACTATATCAGTGTAGCAGATCGCTAAGTGACGCTGAAGATAACAGATACAATGCAAAAAATTTCTAATACACACAATAGATGCTTAAAGTCACAATCATCATTAATCTAAGGCATAATTAATAACAATAAAAAAAGTATAGCAAAACTAAAAGTACAGATGCTGGAGGGGGAGGAGTCTTGCCAAACAGACTGCAGACACTGCATAAATAACAGAGGATCTCCAGCCTAGGTGCCAACAGAAGCTGCTGCAAAAAGGTGTGGACTTGGCTGTAAAAACAATGGCTTGACGAGAAAAAGGGCGGGTTTGGCAGAAAAAGGTGAGCTTGACTAGAAAATGGGTGGGCTGCTGGATTTGACTGGAAAAGGGCCGAGCTGTAGAACAGAGACATGCAAAAAAGGGAATATGGCCATTCCTCATACTATTTTGGCCGTGACTCAGTGCTATAGCTACTGCAAACAGCCACGACACTGAAACATGATGCTACAAGACTTCTGGAATGGCAGAGGCCGCAAAAAATGCTTCACCATGATAGCACCACTATTTGGCACAATTGACCACTCTTGCAGAAACAGAAACCATCCTCTTTACATCTTACTGATGGAGATAACAAAATAATCATATATTGGTTAAAAAAGATACCAAATGGGATTTGAACTTTCCTTTTGAAACAATGTCACCTCCTGTCTTATTTTATCTTATTTATCTTTCAAAAGCATCTCCATTTTATTGGTCGCATCATAAACTATCATTCATTTTCATAAACAGCTCAAAAGACACTTGAAATTATCATCCAAAAAGCTTTGTACAGTTAATTATTGGTTCAATGTACTTTTCTCTTTAATGATACATAATACTTATAATTCGCTTTTGGTGTTTTCCAGTTAAATAATCCCACCCACTCGGCATCAATGCGGTTGGCTATGATGCTATTTCATGATTGCATTAAAATTTCATAACCTTTTTGCATGATAAAATGGAGGATGAGAAGTAGAAAAGAGAAACAAATTCCAAGAGTTACAATACCTTTGGAAGTAAATTAATGATCTGCTTCATTTCCTCCTCAAAGTTTGCTTCCAATATCCTGTCAGCTTCATCAATCATGAGGCACTGCCAAATCATGCAAGAGATCAAAGAGAGAAGCATAAGCAGGAGGTTCAGAATATAGACTTATATATATGCATGCATCTACTAATTTCCAGATATGATCTAAAAGCAACAAAGTCAAGAGTCTCCACTCCAAAATGGAAAAACAGAAAAGCCTCCACCACCAGAAGTTATAATATTTCAGTATTGAATGCTGATGCTTTCCATGAAGAAAAGCTAGCATCCTTCATATTTTATTTTATTTTATTTTTATTTAATTTCATATTTTCTCCTAACGAAAAGTGGATGAGCCTTGGAGCAACAATAAGGTTGCTCTTATGGGAAAAAATGCAAGGATAAGGTTACATAATCAACCATCAACCCTACCGTCGCAAAGTCGAGGAGCCTTGTGCATTGCAGTTTTCCCTTTGCCCTTTATTTCCTCCCAAACAACAAACAGGTTAAGGAGGCAACAAGGCTAAGCAGCAATGGTATGAATAGTGTCAGAAGATACACGAGTACAACAACAATGAAGCCTTTGGACTCTATCACAAACCAAATTTTCAAAAAAATCATTTAGAGCAAGGCCTTTTTTGATGATTTCTTTGAAAACTTTCTCTGTATTCATCTGCAACTTTATATCAGACCAACTTCCATTTTATCCACTTTTCTACCTTAAGCCTATATCAGTCTTCTTCTCACATGATCAAACCACCATTAACAAGATTCTGTTATCTACCTCTCAATTTACGATGAACAGACATGCAATTAAAGACTATGTATGCAGGGGCAGCACCTCATGTAATATGAGGGAAGCCCCCGTCATACAGGGAAGATTTGAATGTCTAGCTCTGCCACTGCATTACGGCAAGGACTTCAACTAATGGATGTTCCAAACTTCCCACGAGAGAGGACACTCAAGCATACTACGAATTAATATATAGCATGCTTACTTGGATAACTAATCCATAAAAACATTACAATGAATAAAAAGCATGATTAACAAATATTAACATTGTTCGAACAGTGTCAGTAACCAAACATGTGCATATTACAACCAAGCAAAACAGGGAAACAACTGTATGAAGGATCCCTAGCTTACTTTCAAGTTTTTATATATGAATCCCTTTGTATTTTGAAGGTGATCAAGAAGACGACCAGGAGTTGCAACCAACAGGTTTACGCCTTTAACAATGCGCTCAGCTTCTCCTTTTCTACCTGAACCCCCAATAACCAATCCAAGAGTTTGTGAATGATACTTGAGTAGTTCCTTTGCCACAGCATGTGTCTGGAAATAGAAACGGTGCATCAGTCAATTAAGAGAACCAAATGATAAAATTCATAACCAAAGCAACATCATCCAATCCAATAGCAAAAAGAATCATATTCCCCCCCCCCAAAAAAAAAAAAAAAAAAAAAAAAAAAACCAACCAAAAAAAGAAAAGGAAATCCAACCAAAGAAGCTAGTATCCCAATAATGCAGTTTCAACTTCAACCTCACCTTTATCCCAAAAACTAGTTGGGTATCCCAATAGTCCATTTTATGACCACATATACAGATTCAGAAAAAAAGGAAATATGAGGAAAATAATTTAATACCTGAATCGCAAGTTCTCTTGTAGGGCATATGACAACAACACCGGTTCCATTACGAGGAGTAAACTGAATGTTGTACAACAATTCCACAGCTGGAATTAAAAAGGCAAGAGTTTTTCCAGCACCTGTCCTGGCAGCACCAAGAACATCTTTTCCAATCAAAAGTGGCGGAATCGCTCTCGCTTGAATCTGAATTTTTTCCGTTTATTCATTCATTGTAAAAGCTTCATGGTAAGCTCTACCACTCATAAAAACGAAAAAAATTTAAAAAAATAAAAAAGAAGAAGCAAAATGCAAATTACCTGAGTCATACGCTGGAAACCCATATCCAAAATAGCCTTAGAAGTAGGTTCAGACAGTCCCAGAGACGCAAAAGATTCAGCGCTCATAATTCCAGTAGCAACGTTCTTCACTTTTTTATATTCCCCTTCTTCATCATCACCATCTTCTTCAGTTTGTTGTTGTTGCCCACTCTCAAACTTCTCATCCTTCTTCTGCTCCTCTTCGGCAGATTCCGCATCGCCATTCTCCTCTTCTCGCTGCTCAGTCTTACGAGGTCTTTTCCTCTTGCGCAGTTTCTTATTCTTAGTTTGATCCTCAGACTCAGGTGATTTGTGCTCTGCTTCGGCCATAACTGCTTCTGCTGCTGGTTTTGGTTCCTTTTAGAATTTGCGAAAACCCAAACAACCAAACTATTTTCTCTTTGTTAACATTTAGCCGCTCGTTAAACCCTAGTCCCACAATGCAGCTTCTGATTTTTCTGAGTTTTTGTTTTTATTTGATTTTATTATTATGGGTACAATTCAAAAGAAATTGGCTGAAGTTGGATTGTTTCCCCATTTGTGGATTGGATTTAGGGTATGGCTCAAATGGGCTTGTCTTGGACTCATCAGGCCAATTTGGCCCGGCTCATGTCAGGCAATTTGTACATTTATGTTTAATCCTTTTATTTATTCTCCTTTTAGAGGGGTTATGTTTTTCTCATGTTGAGAGAAGAAAATCTTATCATGCTCACATAACAAATATGTAGAGCCCATTATTTGTTGTGTCAACAAGAGAAGAAAATCTTCTACTGGATATCCATAAATGAATTAGACCAAATCAGATTTTAATCTAAATGAGCTATGTGCCTATGCGTATGTAAATTATTTCAAATCTAACTTGAGTTATTATAAGATTTGTATGACTTGTTTTTTAAAAATATAATATTTGGCCTAACCTATCAAGCTTATTAATCCTTCAAAAATGAAATATTGCACTATATAAATTATAGGTTATGATTACTTTGTAAAATAGCTGAAACCATAATCCAAAATATTAATAATTTAACTACATTATTAAAAATTTTAAACAATCAATCGAATCGAATTGTATTGATTTTTAATTATAAAATTAAATTTTAATTTAATTTAATATAAAATACAAGTTTATACACGTGCATGCGAGTTCACAAACATGTGCATATATATGGGACAAGATCCTTTGATACCGGTGTCAAACTAAAAAGTTTGAAACCAAATCTCAACTGTTGATTGATGAGTCTCCAATTTAATATGTATCAAGGTTCAATATAAGCATGTAATTGATTTAAAAGTAATTAAAAGTTATGAGAATTATAATTAAATTAATATTTTACTCTCAATAATATTCTCATAAGATTTCTTATATTTTGCAGTAAATTTCAGCTCAATAAAGAGATAAATTGGAGATATCATGTAGAGTTGCTTTGGATTTCTGAATCATTGAAGATCTTATCAAATATTTCTTTGAATATTTTTAAGGAAAGTTTTCCATTAAATTAAAGAAAAGGAAAATTTGAATGATTGGATCAAATATATGATAGGAGATTCTAGTGAAGATTCCATTGAAGATATTATGAAAAATAAAAGACATGGTTTCATCCCTATAAAAAGGCATCTCTTGGAAACACAAATTCACAATTCGACAGAGGCAACAATATTCAGAGGAGGAGACTCACACTGGATATCAGGATTCCGGAGAAATTGAAGATTGAAGACCATTGATCATTCATCTTCTTCTTCTTCTTTTCTGCTTTTATGAATAATTTTTATTCTTTTAATTTGTTTAAGTCAGACATGAATATGTCTGGCTAATTTTTTTTTGTAGTTGGGATCACAGACCTAAAGTGAATCCTTTATATTTTCTATATTGTTTTTATAATTTAATTAGTTTAGTTAGTTTTATTCTACCAGTGTTAATTCTTCCATATTCTTGATAGAATTGATCACTCTATCATAGGGTTTTGAGGGTTAGAGCTCACAATAGATATATTGTGGTTTTAATTCAGACAAGGGTAGAATAACAATCCGTGCATAACCTAGACATAGGCTTACATAGATTGTGAACTTTTAATTCATTCGCTTAATGCTTAACTCAAGAGAAATTACTAGGACACTATGATTTTAATTGGGTTAAAGGGTTAAAATTACTAAGACATTAGGGTTCAACTATTTTATAGGGAAATAATGAATTGTATGAGCTAATAACCTAGTTAGTTATAAAATACAATTTAGGAATATAAGGGATGATCGGAGGTGAAGTGCATCCCGGCTACAGTTCTTTTACAATTTTTCATAACTCTTTTGATATTCTTGATAACTCTTGCATGCTTTTAAATATTATTGTTTTTAAATTTCTGTTTTTAAATTACGATCTCAAATATTTCACAACCAAACTAAATTCTTTACTTCCAATTAAAAAGGGAATAGTTAAAATTAGTCATTGGTGCATTAATCCTCGAGGAAACGATATCTTACTTATCACTTTTATTACTTGAAACGAACGGTATACTTGCCGATTTCACAACAAGTTTTTGGCGCCGTTGCCGGGGATTAATTACGCTCATATTAATTTTAACTTTCGATCTTTGAGATTGGAATTTTTATTTTTATTTTGTCACTAATTAATTTCTCTCTTTTATGCAAGGTAGAGTTAATCGAGATTCTTTACAGTTCGATCCAGAAATTGAAAAAACTGCAAAGAAAAACAGGAAACTCACTAAGCAAAAGAAGCAAGAGGAATCCTCGAATTCAGAGCCAAAAGCAGAACCCGAGATGGCAGCTCATAATCCACCGCCACCAGAGGATGAATTAATGGAGTCAATCCTTGCTCCTCTTTTCACGATGCCAAATTCAAGCATCATCAGACCACAAATTGATGCCAACAACTTTGACATCCAACCGTCACTGATAGGATTGGTGGAGAAAACTCAGTTTGGCGGGGAAGATTATGAAGACCCCCATGATTTCATGGACAGATTTCTATGAATTTGTGACACTTCCAAGCATCATGGGGTATCAGATAATGCAATTAGATTGAGGTTGTTCCTTTTTCCTGTAACAGGGAAAACTCTCAGATGGTTGGATAGACAAGCTCCCAACAGCATTAGAACATGGGACGATCTGGAAGCCAAGTTCTTCGCAGAGCACTTTTCCATGGAGAAATACAACAAGTTGGTTAATGAAATTACCAACTTCACTCAACAGCCAGGAGAGACTCTGTGTGCAGCTTGGACCAGATTTCAAGAACTGATCAGAAAGTGCCCCAGTACGATTTACCGGACGGAAAGAAAGTCAGAGTCTTCTACAATGGGATAACACCAAATTCCAGAATGGTTATCAATGGTGCAGCTGGTTTAACCATAGGAAAGAAGACAACAGCTCAAACTTTAGAGTTGATTGACTACATGGCAAAAAACGAGAATGCATCGATGGTAGTTCAACCAGTTCAATTGAGGAAGGGACTTCTGCAATTGGGGAATGATGATGCGGCATTAGCTGAATACAAGATTATCTTTTAACAGCTCGCCCGTTTGAATGCTAAGTTGGACAAGATGAAATATCTGAAGGATTGTGAGTTTGACCTTCAGTATCACCCTGGAAAGGCCAATGTGGTGGCTAATGCTTTGAGCATGAAAACTACGAGTGTGGCTAGCATAATGATTGCAGAGTATGAATTGATTGAGAAGTTCAGGTTTTTAAGAATTTTCGTGACACCGCTTGAGACTTTATATTTTATAACTATAGTTGAATTCCTAAATTCACTTGTGGAAAGAGTTAAAGCAGCCCAGTTGCTTGATAAACAAATTCAAGGGATGAAAGAGCAAGAGTTTGTATTCACAGATACTTCTAAAGTGAAATACTATAAAAACAAATCGGTTAATTATTCTGAAGGGGCCAATAATGGAAGAAATGTTAATAGAGGGTCATATGGGTAAGCACACCATCCACCTAGGTGAAACAAGATGTATCAAGATTTGAAACGAAATTTTTGGTGGTCTAGGATGAAGAAAGACATAGCCCAACTTATGAATAAGTGCCTTATTTGTCAGAAGGTAAAAAATTGAGCATCAGAAGCCTTCTGGTTTGTTACAACCATTAGATATTCTAGAATGGAAGTGGACGAGTATTTTCGTGGACTTTGTGGTTGGATTACCGAGAAGCCAGGCTGGATTTGATTCTATATGGATTGTGGTTGATAGGTTGACTAAATCCACCCATTTGATTCCAATCAAGACGACTTTCTCCACATAGCAGCTAGCCAGACTATATGTCAGAGAGATTGTGAAGCTTCATGGCATTTCCGAAAGCATAGTCAGTGATAGGGATCTGAAGTTTACTTCACGCTTTTGAGAAGCGTTGCATGAGGCTTTTGGTACTCAATTGAGATTGAGTACTGCATATCACCCGCAGACAGATGGTCAGACCGAGAGGACCATTCAGACACTAGAGGACATGTTGAGAGCATGTGTGTTAGAGCAGGGTAATGCTTGGGACAAGTACCTGCCACTGGTTGAGTTCTCCTACAACAACAATTATCATGTCAGTTTGGGCATGGCTCCTTATGAGGCCTTGTACGGTCATAGGTGTAGAGCACCTACTTTTTGGATGGAGGTTGGAGAGATACAGTTAATGGGGCCAGACTTGGTCCATGAGACCACAGAGCAGATTGAGATGATCAGATATAGGCTGAAGAAAGCCCAAAGCCGTCAGAAAAGTTACTATGATGTCAAGCACAGACCCCTTGAGTTCTTCTCTAAAGGGGATCATGTATTCATCCCATTATCACCCACTACAGGTGTTGGGCGTGCCTTGGGGGTGAGGAAGTTGAGTCCACGGTTCATTGGGCCCTACCAGATAAAAAAGAGTGTCAGACCGGTGGCGTATCAACTTGCTCTACCTCCCAACTTGGCGAATCTACATCACGTCTTCCATGTGAGTCAGCTCCGCATATATATATATATATATATATATATATATATATATATATATATATATATCTGATGATTCACACATTGTACATCCTGATGACATAGAGGTTAAGAAGGATTTGAAGTTCGTTGTTGGACCTTCTAAGGTCCTTGCTCAAGATGAGAAACAGCTTCGAAATAGAGTCATTCCCATGATCAAGATCCAATGGAAAGGATTGGCACCTGAGGATGCCACATGGGAGCGGGAGGATGATATTCTCCGGCGATATCCCGATTTTGATATCAAGTATGATCCGATTTTGAGGACAAAATCTTTTTAAAAGGTGTGGTGAATATAATAACCCTAATTATATGACTTTTAAATTAGAGGGTTATAATGAGGACCTTATGGTCATAAATAAAATGAGGATGGAATTCTAAGAATTTTGATACCCATATTAATGATATTTTGCACCGATGAATTTTCATCTGTTAATTTTGACTGCTGACGCAGTAACAGTTAGTAGAATAGCTCTAAGT